TGGGGAAGTGGAGCAAGAAAGATGGCCAAGAGCTGGTCTGTCATGGAGAAGCCCCGATAGGGAAATTGAGAAAAACAAATGCCTGCCTGGCCTGGACAAATTAAGAGCTGGGAAGGAGGCCAGCAGGGACGAGAGAGAGGCAAACTGCTAATTCTGGGCAGGCACGTTTTCAAAAGGAGACACCATTTTCAATCCTCCAATGGTATGCAAAAAAGGAAAAAGGAAAAAGAAAAAAAAAAGGGAAAAAGGAAAGTAAGGTCTGGCGGTAAGCAAAGGCCGCCCCGCTGAGCTGTGCCAAAAGAGGAAGTTTTGGCTTGGAAAAAGAATCAGCATCATCAAGTATTCAGAGTTTTTATTACAAGTGGATTGGAGAGAGGCTTGGCCGGAGCCGTCCATTCAACTTTCGACCTTCCAAAAGTGGGAAAGAGGGGTGAGGAAAGAGGCACCTCTCGCTTGGCTCGGAGAAGACTTAAATCACGTGAGAGAGGCCGCCAAACACGGGGAGCAGATGCCCCAGGATTCCCGCCGTTGTCGAGATGACTGCTTCCTGGCATCTCTTGAGCGCAGAAAAGGATTCAGGCAGGAGATGGCCATGGTCGGTCCATCTGTCTCTCCAGTAACAGTTACAGCAGCGCTGCACAAGGCTGCCGGATTCTCAGGGCTTCCCTTCTCCTTGAGAAGAGGGACATGGACATTTATTCAATCTGTGGCCATTTTTTGGTGGTGGTAGGGGTGCAGTCGTGATGTTTGGGGAAGGGGAAGGGGTCAAGAAAGCCCTCAAAAGGGGGCAGTGGCTGCTACTGTCGCTGCCGCCGAGCTGGTGTCGGGAAGTCTGTTTTCTAGGGCCTCCGGGGATTGCGATGTGCTCGCCAGCCGTTGCGCCAAGGCGGCGCTGGAGTGCCTGCACTTTGGGGAGCCGCACAGGCAACTGAAGTACTTGCCCTTGATATTCCAGAACCTTTCGCCATAGTCAAACCTGGGAGAGAGAATGAGAGAGAAAGAGGCCTATTTAATTTGAAAATTCAAAAGGACCAGCTTCCATGCAAATGCACATTGAAAAACCTGTGTATTTTAAAAGCCAGTGTGGTGAAGTGGTTTAAGTGCCACGCTGTGACTCTAGAGACCAGGGTTCGATTCCCGGCTCAGCCATGAAACCCACCGGGTGACCTTGTGCAAACCACATGTTCTCAGCTTCAGGGGAGGGACTTCAGGTCATACAACAAATCTTTTGCTTTGCTAGCTTAGAGGACTTTAGGCTAACCCCCTCGAGCACTGGTTCCTAAGCTTTGGCGTTCCAGATGGTTTGAACTTCAGATCCCAGAACTCCTGAGTGTTGGCCAAGCTTGCTAAGGCTTCTAGGAGTTGAAGTCCAAAACACCAGAGGACCAAATGTTTGGGAACCAATGCCCTAGATAAAATGTGGTACCTACCAGTGGCTCTAAGTCCTGCTCCTATTATTTCCACTACATGTTCTACTTTCAAGTCAAGACATACCCAATTTCTTCTCCCGCCTGGATGTGTCTGCTGCTGAAGAAGGCAATTCTGGGAAAGCGCAGGTCCTGGTGGGACATGAACACTCGCACAGCAATGAGGTTTGGCTCACAGAAATGGTTGATGAAGCGGCTGATATTGCCATAGAAGCGGGCATCTATGCAGTAGATCTCTCTGTCCTAAGGAAGACATGAGTGAGGCGGTGGAAAGGAAAAGAAAGATCATCAGACTTAAATCTTTTGGGGGACTGTAGCAATGCTTTCACAACCACTGCAGCTAACCACTTTCACAGAAGCATTTGAAATTCACAGCAAGTTGGAGAGCAGTCTTCCCTAACCAGATGAGTTGGACTACATCTCCATTACACACACATTACACAACCCCCATTACACACACACACACACACAGCCCAGTGGGAATGTGAGTTGCAGTTCAGCAACTCTGGAGAATACCAGGTTGGGGAAGGTTGGGAATATCAAACAAAAAATTAAGAAAATAATGCTTGATATTTGCCACTTAGTGTCCCAATTTTAGGGGGAAAGCAGGAGAAATCATTATCATCATCATCTCCCCTTTATTAATGGTTAAAATAAAAACTAGGCTGGCTTTCTCACACTTCTTGTGTCCTCTGACAGGCAAAGACAAAACATAACAACCATCAAACAAAGCATGTTCCTGGGCATAATAGTTGTAAGGAGATGGGATAACAGCTTTCGCGCTCCTTTTATTTGGAAGCTCTGGCTTCTTCTCTTGTTCTCTTTGTGTATTGAACCTGACAGATCTGCAGCACAAAACTAAAGTCCCCAAAGCACGCTACCCTTTGCAAATTAAGTTTCCAATTTTGAGTTGCTGTTGCTTAAAGAAAGAGAAACAAGCACGCTGCTTCAACTGCAGCAGGAGGAACATTGGGTTTCGGCTGAAACCGGCAGACCCTTGTGAGAAATCTATTTGTTTTGGCCAGAAATGACGCTGCACACAGCAACCTCTCATTACAGGCATCTAAAGTACAGAAATCTACTTCTCTTCCCCATCTCACTGTCATCCTTTGTACTGATGATTATTTACAAAGCTAGGGGTGCAGATATATTCCTAAATAAATGGGCTCCATTCCCTCAAAATAGGATTTTTTTAAATTGAGGACTCAAACAAAAATACTCTGCTATCCCTACTGACAAGAGGGAATTGCTGAAGCCTTTGGCTATCAGAAGCAATGTTGAATTTCACTCGGTCACTCCTGGCTATGAGCCATTCTCAGCAAAACATCGATCTGGGCTATTTCTGAACCATCAACCTGAAGCAGTTCATCTGTATATATACACACACATGCACACAAACTTCCCATCACCCTCTTGCCACAAACAATTTTGCTTCTGCTAAAGGTGAGAAGAGCTTTCCCTTGCACCGTCTTACAGAAATCTCTGTCCAGTGTTAACAGGGAGGGAAGGGCAGAGAGAATTCATTTTAGCACTTCTGTATTCCCCAGGAGTCCTTAATTTTATTTATTTTTAAATACTACCTTGTTGCCAAGGTCAAAAAGATAGCAGTCTTCCTCACGAACGTTTGCCTCTGAATCAGAAATCAGCTCTCCGACGTACCTGGAGTACAACAGAAAAAATGAACAGGAAATAAAACGTAAGGAGAGTTGTCCTGGATCATATTAAAAAGGCATACCTAGTCCAGCCTTTTGTGCCCACGGTGTCCATACGGATGTCTCTGGAAAGCCTGCCAGTGGGATATGACTGCCACAGCGCTTGGCATTTCCCAACATAGCGTCTCTGATATTGGAGGTTAACACTTGGCAACCCATCAGAGAATCATTGAGTTGGAAGAGACCCCAAGAGTCATCCAGTCCAACCTCATTTTGCCATGCAGAAAGACACTGTCAAAGCACTCCCGAGAGATGGCCATCCAGTCTCTGTTTAAAAAGACTCCACCATACACTGAGATAGCATATTCTACTGTTGAACAGCTCTTACTGTCAGGAAGTTCTTCCTAATGTTTAAGAGGAATCTCTTTTCCTGTAGTCTGAATCCATTGCTCCATATCCTAATCTCTGGAGCAGCGGAAAACAAGCTTGCTCCTTCATGATTAATAGCTACTGATTATAAAGAAGACAGTGTTTGGGAGCACTATTGGGGAACTCTGGCCCATCTCTATCCTACAGAAACATGTTTAGAATTGCAATCTCAAAACAATTGGCTCAGATGCAACATGGAGCAAGGCTGCATTAGACTCTTGTTTTCAAGCGAGGCTTACTCCCTACTTAATTTTGCTTGGAATTTCAACTTTGCAACAAAAACTGGTCCATACGCAAGACCCCAAGACAGAGGAAAACAGCCAGCCTGGCATGTTGTAGTGAAGATTCCCAGGATCACCAGGATCCAATATGGCTTCACATTGCTCCTCACATCCTCAAAAGTCAGAGGTGAGGAAGATATGGTCCTTCGGCAATCTACAACTCCCATTATCCCTCACCACTGGCTACAAGGGATGGGATTTGCAGCTCTTCTCCAAAAAAGGAAGACCACTTGTTCCCCTGTTAAAAGATTATATGGCCTTCTAGAGCCATGGTGAGAGAGATTTAAAGGGGGAAATCTTCCCCGACACACTACACAGTCCAGGATTGGGAACGCAGGAACAAAGAGCCGCAATTATTTTAGATATATTAAAATATGTCTGGATGCTGATCTTGGGCTAAGATTGCTGGTCAAAAGCTGCCTTTATTGCATGGTTCTTCCTCAGGTCTTCTTGAGGCTATGACTTTGCATCTCATCATGAAGCTCTGTAGCATTGCAGAGGCTGTTAAAAAAAAAATCTCCACCTGAGCTGCTGAGAAACAGTTGCATGCTGCTCTGGAAATTCAGACTGACTTGGGTTGTGCAAAGAATTCTGCTACTACCTCCCAAACATCAGGGTCCACCAAACCATCTGCTGGGGATTTCTCTCCTCTCAGGACATCTACTGATATTTAACCTAAAACTGCCTGACCTCTGGTTACTCTCTCTGCAATGAAGATCACCCCAAAAATCAGAGAAACAGGTTCGACATTTTCAACCAAGGCTGACTTAGCCCTCAAGACGATCACTGGGATGAGAGAGGAGCAGTCTTGCTACTGCCCTTGTTCTTGAGCTAAGAGGTGCATCTACACTGTAGAAATAATGCTAGAAATAAAGAAATAACTTTAAGTGCTGCAGTTCTGGAATCCTGGGGTTTGTAATTTTGTCAGGGCTTTAGCCTTCTCTGCCAAAGATCGGTTGCTTCACAAAACCACAAATCCCAGGATTTTGTAGGATGGAGCTACAGCACTTAAAAGTGGTGTCAAACTACATTATTTC